AGATGTTAGCCTGTAATTGCCTCATAGTGAGATGATGGATGTGGCTGAGGTGCTCTGTGGAGTGTGGATCTGAGGGGAGCTGAGGAGTCCAACTGATGCCAGGGCACGCCAAGTCTGGAGCTGAACGAACAGATTGTATTAATACTGTCCCAAGTGTGGTTAGAATTCAATTAATTTAACCTATTTTTGTTTTACTGGTGTAGACCTGCATGACCTGCTTTTGAAAAGGTTTTGACCTGCTTTAGTCTTCTTAAAAGGTATTTTGTGATCAGAGTGTTCTGTGGGGTGGTTGGTGCGAAAGGATCAATGTTTCTATGACTCACTTTCTAACAAATTTAAATCTGACTTTTCTGGCGATATGGGCAAAGGGGATCTGCTACTTGCTTGTCCCCATGGAGATATTGCATTTCTTGCCATGTTCCACCATTTGGCTTTAAACGTCTTAAATCTAGTATTTAGGATGATATATTTTTCTCAGGATTGTATTATCACATCTCAGAGAATTTTCAGTTAGCCTAATGTTAAAACTAATGGAGCTTATCCATTTACAAGTATTCTGAACAAATCTATACATTTATTCACCTAAAGATGTGTTGTTGCTAAAAAAAAAACATTACCTTGAAAACATGCATTCTTACTGTGAGCCTATTCTCCACAGATCTAACCTGTTTTTTGTTTGGTTTTTTTTCGCCTGATGTCATCTCCATATTGTGTACACAGTGATAAATACATTTTTGCCCTGCTGTGGAGCATTCTAGGCAAAACTAAAACTTCTCTGAGCTAATTATTTTACCACTAGGCTGTGAGTTGTTTTGTCTAGAGTGCACTTCTATTGTTTATGGTCACTGGTGGTTGAGTACCCTACAGCAACTCGTCCTTGGCCTTTAGCATCCACTGCAGCAACAACAGCTACTGCACTTTATGATGCTTTTACACAAAGTGACTCATGGCTGTTCATACATACATTTTTAACCACACACTGGGCCTGTCATGGTCTAACCTACTTTACGTAACTGAGAAACTAGTTATGGAAAGCATCGAGAAAATAAATGTTTACTTTATTTTGTCTTAGTAATGGTTGTATCCTGGTGTTGTTGGTGTTTGGTGCTGATTCTAGTGTTATTTTCCATCTTTATGTTCAACAGTGCCTATAGCTATTTTCTGATCTATGTAATAATGTTATTTCCTCTTCAAAATCATATCCAGAATTGTGTGTGTGAGAGAGTTTTGTTTCATTCACATATGTTTAAATTAACACACAGACCCTGCATATTTAGGCCGAGTTCTTCTATTAGACAGAAAACACTCCACATTGTGATGTCATGTGGTAAGACAGGAAGTGTTTTTAAACTCCATACAACTTCAAGTTTAGATCATTTCAGCCCTGGAATTGCCTATCTCTACTAAACAAAATAAGTGGTAGCTGTTAAGCTATAAACTACCACTACTTGACATCACAAGGTGGAACAGAGCATTTTGAGCTTTAGAGATGTAGACAGACTAATAAAAGGTTTACACAAACATGTTTTAATGGAACAAAACACAACTCCAGGTATGTTTTTGAAGATGTAACAACATTATAACATAGCTTACAGCACACAAAACTCTTATTTTGCACAATATAGGATCTTTAAAAGTCACTCTCATTCAGTGTATACCAATGTAGTAGTATTGCAAAATGACAAGAATTTAAATATTTCTGTTATTTTTAGTGCATTGATTTGCAGCATTTCAGTTGCACCATGCCACAGCCAGTCTCCACAATCGGATTGAGTCTACAGCGAGCTACTGATAAAACATGGCCGAATCAAATTTCCAGGTCTAATTTTAGGCATATCTTCCGACCATAATGGCATTTCCTTTCAATCAGACGGAGGAAGCAGAGACAAAGGAAGGACCAGAAAACAAAGCTATCAGGCATTGTCCTAGTTCTAACAGAGGCTGAGAGCTCTCCAGTCTGCATGTGCACTGGAGGGCACAGCTCTTATTGTGAGACCGCGACCACCACTGAGCCAGACATGTGCCCCTGTCCTGACCCCTACAGAGTATTGTCAAAACACCAACGCAGTAGTAGCAATAGCAGGTCCAAAAGTGGTAATGTTTGTAGTTACTGAGTAGTAATCGGCATACTGAAGTAGGAATTAGAATTTTCAATGCAGTAGTAGAGTTACACAGCAGCTGATACTTTTTCTTAGTTGGAGTATATAATAATATGTGTGAGTACCCATTATTATTGTGGCAGCAACTGACACATTGCCTTAAAACCAACCAGTATTTGTCAAAATGCAATAAAGCAGTAAGCTTAGAAGTCTTTAAAGTTTAATGTAATTATCACGGTTAGTTAGACATGAGATACCATATTGCCATAACAGATGCAGAGTTCCTTCGTATTCATTCAACTCCAGCCAATAAACCAAACTTATCATTTATCAACAGCCCAATGAATGTTTATAAGCACTAAACCAATGTACTATAAAAGCAAAGGGCCTACACTATTTTCTGATCTGTTATAATTTGTTTCCTTATCAAAAACATACCTGGAGTTTTGTCTTGTTTCACTCGCACGTTTAACACATGAACCATGCAGATTTGGGCTGAGTCCTTCTCAAACAGAAAACACTCTCCTCCACCTTGTGATGTCATGTGGTAATACAGGAAGTACTCCACTGTTTTTAAACTTCAAACATCTTCACTGGAATCACTTGGATCATTTCAGTCCTGGAATTGTCAATCTCTACTGAACTATAGATAAAATGATCTGTTAACTTAAAAAACTACTGCTTCATGACATCACAAGGTGGAACAGAGCATTTCAATCTTTTGAGATGTAGACAGACTAATAATAAAGGATTACTCAAACATGTGTGAATGAAACAAAACACAACTCTAGGTATATTTTTTATTAAGAAACAAAATTATAACTTATCATAAAGCTCACAAGAGTCAATTTGCATAATATAGAATCTTTAATCTTTTGCAGTGAAAGTACAGTAGTAGGCAGCAGTGGGAGTAGCAGTAGTGGTGACAGGAACAACAGTATTAATGGAATCAGCAGCCCAAGTACTAAGTAGTAAAGGTGTGTACCAGTAGTCTGAACCACTTGTCAGAATGCCACGGCAGCAGCATTCATGGTGGGTATGGGGCATCACTAATCCCCCTCCAGGGAACAGCCAGTTTGCACATTTCAGTCCCAATTACAGATCTGCAGTAGCACCAGAGGACCGGGATCGTCCAAATGTGGTGATTAGTGCGAGCTTCCTGGAGGGTGAGGATGAGAGCGGAACACTGTTTACTGACTGTCTGCACTGTGTCCATCTGCTGGGATAAACAAGAGAGATAACAGCACTTCTCCATGCAGGCGCTTTCCTAAAATTACAATTATGTGGTATTGTTTGGAGTGGGACTGATGTATAGAGAAACGCAAGCATATTGTCAAAAAATGCTGAATTACTTTTTCTTTGGACTACTGGGGAGTTGTTGGATATTTTTTTGTGATATGATAAAATTTCAAGGTGCATTGTGTAGCTTTTCTCATGGAGGGTCCGTCAACTGCTATTCTCCTTGGTGATGTTATTGCTTTGTCTAGAATGTTTCACAGTATGATATTAAGCCTTTCTATCTTCATGGAGACTAAACTAGACCAAGTTACAGGTCACATTTGTGGAGAGGCGACCCCACTCACAGTCAGAATGCCTGTGTTTCTCTGTATTTTGAGCTGTCAAACCATCTGCAATTTAATTAATGTATTGTGGAACTGTTTAATGTCATACTGTGGAATATTTCAGGCAGAGCAATAACGTATTTGTAGAAACAAGCAGGTGGGGGACGAACTCCCTACCAAAAAGTTACACAGTGCATTTTTAAGTTGTAAAAAGCTGAATAAATGACTTCTCCAACTCATTACAAATGCAAACTCAGTACTAAAGTGTTTATTTCTGCTATTTATTTATTACAGCTCATGATTTTTTAACACTATTGTAGATTTAGAATAGTTTCAGGGTTTTGTGTCAGTGGTATAAATTTGTTGCAATAATATTGTCTATTGGCTATTTTTACTTCAGCAATATATTTAACTTCAACATTTCTTATAGTGACAGGCCTATCTTTATGATAATATAGATGTTTCTGTTTTTTTAATGTATATCTTCCCATCTCCATCCTCAGTTAATCTGAACTAATAGTCCACTACTATTTATGTGTTTTAAACTAACAGTACCATATTTTTGACAATGTAGTAGAGTAAAACCAGCTCTTCAGGTCAAAATGGGACCATCCATCCATTGTCTTCTGCTTATCCGGGACCGGGTCACGGGGGCAGCAGTCTAAGCAGGGACTCCTAGACTTCCTTCACCCCAGACACGTCCTCCAGCTCCTCCGGGGGAACCCCGAGGCATTCCCAAGCCAGCCGAGAGACATAGTCCCTCCAGCTCCAGATCACCAGGAGGAGGCCCCGGGGAAGACCCAGGACACGCTGGAGGGACAAAATGGGACCACTGTAGGGGAATTTGTACTCTGACCCTACTCTTGACCCTGCACTGTTGCTAGGGCAACCTGTCAAAAGCAGTGGGGCCCATCTTCAGATAGCGACTTAAAAAATGTTTGTGAACTTCAACTACCAAAGCTGAGGAAATAGTTTTATTGATGTGGATGTGGTTTGAATATTTTACAGTAATCTGAACTTTTCAACTTTTTCAGCAGTATCATGATATTCAGAACTTGTCATTTGTATTCAAGTACAAAGCCTCCCATCCCTCTGTCCCAATGTGACTTGTGTGTGACATCTTTGAGTGTTTTGGCGCTCCTTCATTGACAGACAATATAATGATGTCGTGTGAATGGGTCTCAGAGGTGTCATGGTGGATCTTCTCCACCTGTCAGCGCTCTGCCCTCTCCGCGGCCTCTCTCTTCACCTGTCTACTTCTCTTTAGTCTGTACAGGTGTGTGTGTGTATGTGTGTGGGGACAAGTGTGTGATTGTTTTGTCTTTGCTTTGTCACTCAGGTCTGGCCAAGCCCATGGGGTTGGTGGAGGGTCCCGGAGGTTTGGGGCAAGGTGGAGCTGCTGCCACTCTGGGGGAAGACAGTCGTGACGCGGAGGGCAAGTACGAGGAGTATGGGTACAACGCTCAACTCAGCGACCGCATCTCTCTGGACAGGAGCATTCCCGACTACAGGCCCAAGAAGTGAGTGTCAGCTAAGTTTTGCAGAACTCTTATTTTTATGTACAACTGTGTTTAAGTATTAGTTAAGTACACACAAATCTGATAATTTTCTGATTTACTGAAATGTCATGTAAACAGCTGATGTGAGACTAATGTGAGAAATTTGATTTATTTCTGATCACTCTCATCTATACAAGGTTTGACTATTAAAATTATGCACACAAAAAAAGAGATAACTATTTTGGCAAAACCATACTTGGGAACAATCTCCTTGGGATAGATAAGTTTCCTGTCATACTGGGGAATAATGTAGCCAAATGTAGCCAAAGGACAATATTTCCATGGACATCCTGTGTAGCTGAACATAAATTTAAAGCAACAGGCTGTGTCTTTCATTTTGGGATGTGCCAAGTGTCTTGCCAAAAGACACATGGTACCACTGGATCTATCTGTATAAAATATTCAGTGTAATACCACAAAATATCACAGACAGATACACATGCAACTGACAAAATAATAATAATTACAGCATATACCTGCACAAATATTTCTTTCAGATAGATTCTCTTTCCAAGTATTCTGTTCCCAACACGTGTTTTTCACACTTAAGTGCCAGTGGTGACAAAGACGTGTATATTTGCCAGTTTAAGCCCTGCAGCAGTTGATCGAGTCTATTTTTGTCAAAGGCACATATTGTACGACAAGCCCCACTGCCAGCAAACTGACATTATTATTCGTCAAACTCATGATGCGCCTCCTCCATGTTCAAATACACTGGCATGTTTTCCGGCTCATATTCTGTGCCAGGAAATACAGGCCACGTCAGAAATGTTTAAAGTGTGAAGTTGAATTGGGGATGGTGGGATTATCGCTGCTCAGCTGGGGCAGGGTCAAAAGTGCATCATACAGCGATTGGGTGAGAATGAGGACAGTAACAGAACAAATGAAAATGCACAACAGTAGCTCAGTTTGTTGTGGAGTGTTTGTCCACTGATCCAAAGGTTGTTCAAATCCTGTGCTTGACATAAACATCATTGGTTGACCGATGCAATTCAAGCTCCTAGAATAGTTGTCATTGTGTCCTTGAGCAAGACACCTTGCCCTCAGTGTCTGTGTACATTGGTGTTTTAATGTATATGTGAATGGCTGAGTTCCTTGATGTAAAGTGCTTTGAGTGCCTTGAAGGTGGAAAAGGTCTATATAAAAATACATACAATTCTAGCTATCCATCTATCTGTTTATCTTATATCAGAAACTATTTCAAGAACCTTAGTTTAGTTTTGAAATGCTGGCATTCTAAGCATTTAAAGGTGCATTGTGTAACTGTGCAATATTAAAAACACATTTAACTACTTAATTTAATGAAGTTAGTCAATGTAAAAATAATAAAAATACCTCTTACCTCTTCTTCCTTATAGTTTTGCTACAGAGAGTCAAGAGTCAAACTTTTCCTTTCACACGAGTTCACTGAAATTTGAATTATTCTCAGTTCATGAAAATCTTTACATTTTCTCTGAACCAATTTAGATAAAACGTGGGCAGTACATTTGCATATGTTTTTAAATTCCAGCCATGTTGAATATTACTCATAAAAAACATGGCCTGTGTACTTTAAAATTTAATCTAAAAATGTAAATGGCACCAGTCTGAATATAATGAAGTCCAGTGGGGGACATAGGCGTACGGTGTATGTCCTGCTTTATGGTCTTAATTCCCCGCAGTGATGTGTGACATGCGGCCCCCTGTAAAGTCTCTCAGGCCCGAGTTAGAGTCTGAAACATGATGACTATAATGCCCTTGGTCTTCAATAAACTGGCTTTATGTTGCTATAAACTATACAAGAGATATACTATAAGCTGTCTACAATGGTGCACTATAAAAAATAAATAATGGTAAAATACTACAAGCTGAAGTCGCTCAAATTTAAAGGTCCTATATTGCACAAAATGAACTCTTTAAACCATGTTAGGATGTTGGTACCTCTTCAAAATATACCTGAAGTTGTGTTTTCTTTCATTCACAGTTGTTTGAGTAATCCTTTATTATTAGTCTGTCTACATCTCCAAAGTTCAAAATGCTCTGTTCCACCTTGTGATGTCATGAAGCAGTAGTTTTCAAGTTAACGGCTACATTTTACTCTTTGTTCAGTAGATTGATTCTAAGGCTGAAATTATCAACCAAATGTTTCAGGAAAAAAGTGTATGGGCTTTAAACGCGTAGTGGAACATTGTATGTCCACATGACAGAGTTGGGGACTTGCAAGTTGTGACTTGGACTCGAGTCACTATTTTTAGGACTTGACTTGATAAAATGGACTAAGACTTGAAACTCAACTTGAATTTGAAGGTCAGTGACTTGGGACTTGACTCGGACTTGAGGCCTGTGATTGAGAAGACTTTTAAATTTGAATTCTTTCTGTTCTGACAGTAATGATTCACACTAAGATCTTGTCAAGACATTTAAAAAGGAAAAAAATAAGTAAATTAATTTCTAGAACTCTTGTACACACCGTGACTTTTTAAGTACAATTTAGTTTAAAATTCATATAAATTGTTGGTATAAAGACTTGAAAAGTCTTGAAGCTCAAAGCACACGACTTGGACTTGACTCGGATTTATGGGCCAGTGACATTTGACTTGGGACATTTGACGTGGGACTTGATTCAGACTTGAGGTCAAACACTTGAGATTTACTTGAGACTTGCAAAACAATGACTTGGTCCCATCTCTGCCACATGACTTCACAAAGTGTTTTCCTTTGAGAGCTCTAGCCTCTAGCCTAAATATGCCAGATCTGTTTGTTAAACATGAATGAGTGAGTGTGTGAATGAAACAAATTACATCTCCAGGTATGTTTTTGATGAGGAAACAACATAGATCAGAAAATAGCGCATTACGGTCCCTTTAACCTTGATTTTTTTTTTTTTTTACTATGGATAAAGTCTTACTGTTGTTATTTTAATCTTGTAAAAAACATCAATATTACCATGTTGATTAGAGACTTCAAGTTAGAAAGTACAAATGAATTGTATCTATTTATGTAAATTGTTTTATGGGGAAATCAAATATATTCTCATTTTGTTCAATTTAGTCATTATTTAGCATCAGACAGTCTGGTGTGCTATGGGTGCACAATATATCGTAATCAAATTTAATTTGCAATTAGAGAGCACAATTATCAAAATGCAAAGGCTGCAATTAGATTGTCCTCTGCAAAGAACAAAACAGTCTGTCTCTCTTTATAGAAAATCTTGTAGTTTTCTACAAACATGCTCTGAAACTCATATGATTCTTGTATTTGTTTATCAGTTCAGTTTGCAGTCTTTTCTAAAATGTTATTGCTCCTGGAGTTGTTTGCAATGTGCACCATGAATAGAATCCTACAATTTCGATAAACTTTTTTTCCACTCTTTTTTTTTTTTGTCATGTTTTGTTTTCTTTTTTCATACTCTGAACTAACCCCAGTCTCAAACCATGGGTATTCTGACAAAAGGAAATGGTTTTAGACACGCCTAATCCCCAACATAAAAGGACATGAACAAGATACTAGAGATACCATAAGAGCCATTTTGTACTAGTGATAAAAGACATTTCATATTACTTAGCATTAGGTTCAATGTACCCATAGGAGGCCCAGCAGACATTGCCAGCCGCTCTAATGGCTTTCTTCCTGTAAACGTTATATTTAGAAGCACAGATGTCATACAGTGGTATATTGGGGCGGAGGGGCTAATCATGGCTGCCAGTGGAGTTTTCTATCACACAGCGTCAAAGGAACAATGTGGAGCGGCAAAGACACAGCAGCCCATTTGACCGAGGGAGATTTTCTCAGGCTTTAGTGGGATAACCATTCATTTCTTTCTGTTTCCAAGGCACTTTTTTCTCGCCCACAAAATAGAACAACGGAGGAAATGGGGACTAAACGGGAACCGGCTGATTAATTAAAGCAGGCGCTGGAAATGGGAAGGTTTAAGGAAAGTCATTTTTTGTCTTGTTTTAATTTGAATAATTCACAAAGGACTGCATGAGTCAAAAGACGGTTTAATTTTGAAAAACTTTTATGTCTAGCACAGTTCTCTTTTTCTTAGTGAGAAATTTTTGCATGCGTGTGGGTGTGCTCAAATAGCTGAGACTTTTAGGCATATATATATATATATATATATATATATATATATATATATATATATATATATATATATATATATATATATATATATATATATATATATATATATATATAGGCCTATATTATCTTTTCAATTATACAACATTTTATAACAGCATGTCCATTTTATTTTATTTTCGAGGTATAATATTTATAATGTTTTGTATTATGTTTAGCTCATCACAAGGCTGATATTTAGATGATATTTTGGTAGTCCATCAAAACAGAGTAAAAATATGCTCATAATTGTCTTGTTGGTTGGGGTTTAAGTATCACAAATAAATTTAATAGATGCAGAGATATAATTGTTAGAGAAATTCCATTTCTCTGCTGTGCTGTGGGCGCTCAATGCCAGCTCAGACCTTGTTATTTTAGCCTGCAGCATGAGAGGTATAATACTCCCTACAACGGAAGAATAGCCAGACTGAACTGTACTAGGCTGGAATGGACCACATTATCATAATGTCTTGAGGGTTCATATCTCCGGGTTCTGGGTCCCGTACTGATGGTGAATATAAACTTCCCCCGTGTTAGAACTCCAGCATCATGCCTCTTCTCTTCAAATCTCAGACTACTGCAATTTATTCTACATTGTGTATCATGAAGTATAATCATACTTGTAATTTTGCATATCTCCAAAACATTGCAATATTATATTTTTTCGTATATATCTTTAATATCTGTAGTCATAGGATAAAATTAGCCTTGAAATGTATAGGGCTCATGTGGTCAGGCGGGTGACTTGGACAAATGAGAGAGGCGTGGCCAGTCAACAAGATGAACAGTTTTACAGACATACGCCCGGATGGGAGTGTCTGAAACGTGCTCTGAACTTCATCAATTATCCCCTTTAATAC